GGCAGGGGCAGGGGCAGGATTGGTTTTGGCTTGAAGCGGCGTAAATTGAAAACTTTGCACCTGGACTTCCATTCATGACATGTTTGTGGAAAGCAAATGCTGAAAACCAAGGTATAGAGATCAGAAAGGATCCGGGCCAGTCCCGACCTCCAGAGCTAATGCCCTTCTTCTCTGAGACACAGCAGCAGAGAGGAAGTCCCCCACTCTAAAGTGAGAGAAGTGCTAGGTTTGCTTTCTAGCCCTGCTGCTAACAAGGCTGTGTGGCCTTGGCCAAGTCACTTAACCTCTCTGAACCCTCATGCAAGGTGAAGACATAGTGCTGACTTTGAGCCCCGTGGATCTGACAGGCCAGGTGTAGAGAAGCCCATGCCAGCACCTGCTCGACCTCCAGGCCCGTCACTGTTGGGGGATTTGCCAGGGGAGAGAAGCATGAGGCTTGCTGAGAGTTAAAAACAGATTTATTGCAAACCACCTGGGTGCAGGTGGGGTGAGGCTCAATGGGCAGTCACCACCCCGAGGAGGTAGAGACTTTTTTATCGGGCTTAGTTTGCCAGGAGGGGGAGTGGGCAGTTGGGTAAAGAGTTCAACCTTGTTTCTTCTTTCTGTCATTTCTGGGATCAGGTACAGGTGTTCTCACCGCTCGTCTGTGGTTTGGCAGGCCTTGTGTTCACTTTGTGGTTTGTAGGTTGACAAGTTCCCGTGTCTGTGTCGGTTGCCAAGTTCCTGCTTCTGTGACTGCCCATACCAAGATGGGAGTTTTGGACTTGGGTTGCCAGGGACTTGGGTTGCCAGGGACCTTATAGCCACCAAGAGCGTTGTCATCTGGGGAGGTCAGAAACTGGTTTGGGCAGAAAGAGGATTGGAAGGAGAGGGTGCAGATCACAGAATGGAAAGTAAAGGTGAAGCACCACGTTTCAGTGGTTTTGGGGTCTCAGTAGCAGGAGCAGGATCTATTTGAAGAAAATCTACCCCAAATATTTTCCATCTTGGTATAATTCCCCTCAAGATTCAAGTTCCAGGAACAGCATATCTCTCCCAGGAAATATTGGGGTGTCATTATGAGAAAAAGGGGAACTGTCTGGCAGAAGAAACCGACATTCTCCACGGTGCTGCTTGCTGTGTTGTATCAGTAGCATCTACGAGCATCTACTGACATCTCCGGGTACTGGTCTCCCTGCCCTGCTTGAGGCTGAGAATCTGCCTGAGCTGGTGTCAGCTGTGTTGGGCGAGTTGTCTCAGAAGCCTATTGCTGCAAAGCATCTTACTATTCATCTATAGGCCTGCTGATATCAGATGAAGGCACAGAGAGGTTAAGTGATTTGCCTGAGGTTGCACAGTATCATGATGACAATTCTGGAACCCAGGGTTCTGGTTCTAGGTCATTGCTTTCTTCATTCTCTCCAGCTGCCTCTCTCAACCCACCCAGCTCCTGGGAACTGCAGGCCTTCCAGGATTTATTGAATAGTTGTGGATGGACCCCCATTTCCAGACTTTGGAGTCTAGAGTCTTCCACAGAAAACCTGCTGGTTGGGGTCAGATCAGGTGGGGCCCTTCAGCCGGAAGGTGAGGGAGCTGGAAAAGGGTGGGAGCCAGGAGCAGAAGGCTTCGTAAGGACTCCTGTGGACACTGGAGGGAGATTAGAGGCTTACTGTTTCCTTCTTCTCTCCCCCTGCCCCAGGACAGGAAAATCAGCTCACGAAGAGGGAGAAGATGGAAAAAGGGTCCCTGCCATGGCGTGTCTACCACCACTACATCCAGGCGGCCGGAGGTATGGTCTGTCAGCTGCCCTTCTCAGCCTGGAGCTCTCGAGACCAGCCCTGCTCCCGGGCTGGGTCAGATGGGAAGGTGTGAGGTCATCTGAGGTCCAGAGGCACAGAGGAGTCACACCACAGGAGGTTTATCTTGCGCAATCCCAGCCTCAGTTACAGCAACTCTGGCGCCAAGGTCGCTGCTGGGACGACATCTCCATGTGCACTGTTACAGGGGCCTGAGGCTCGTCTTCATCAGGTCCGGTCAGACACGCAGACGTGGACTTTGCAGTCACGGAGGAAGAGGTTTATACTACAGATGCCTAGGAGCTGCAGGCATGCCACCCACATAGGGCCACATGGGGAGGCACCAGGGCTGGTCAGGAGGCAGAGAGGATGAGAGGGAGAGCGTGGTCCAGAGCTTCATTGGGGTTTTCATGGGAAAGAGTGGGCAAGGCAGGGTGGGTACACTGAGTAAACTTGGGAGCAGATGGTTTGAATAATTTCAGGGGGCTCTGGGCTATAAGGGAAGGGGGTCCCTGGTTATTTGGTACCTGGTCCTGGCGTGATTTAGGGCAGGCGGAAGATTGGCATGGTGTGCGGGAGTGTGACCAAGGAGACCAGTGGGGGCGTGGGCTGTGGACAGGGGGCTTGTGTATCAAAAGCTCCCCCACAGGGGTCCTTTGTCATCTCTAGAAATGAGCTGACCTGGGAAAGGCAGGATCAAGGCCCCAAAACCAAAGCATCAGGACACAAGAAATAAGAAAATATTAGTTAATGCAGTACCCCGTCCTTCAGTGTTTCCCAAACGGCACTGCTGTGAGATCAAATGAGGTGAATTCTTAGCAGCGCCAAGAGAATGGAATAGAATAGACGCTGTGAGCGTCAGTGCATATTGGAGCATCACGAAGCTTTTATTTTGATGGTATTCAAACATATTTCTGAAGGCAGATGGTAATTAGAAGTTTCAAAGCTACTGCCATATGGGCTGGTGGACATTGCCCAGCTCACACACACATCACTGTCCAATGCCAAAAACACCAAAACCAAGTACATGGATCTGCACATTTGGGGGGTAATTTAAGAGATTTCTGAGAGTAATTGTGACTCTGTGACTACTTTTTACTCCTCTTTGATCTTGGAATTAACCCTGTGTAAGGTGGAGCCACATGCAGACTCAGCACACAAGGATAGGAGTTCCTAACTCAGAAATAATGCACATGCCTTGCACTGGGCCTGGCACACCACCCACCACATGGAAGGTGGCCCGTGGTGTTATTTTAAAAACTGAACTCCTGGGCCCTGCGTAAGTGTAACTAACTTCTCTAGAACATGCTTGTGTGCCAGACACTGGACTGGGTGTGAGACATGCCATCTCAGGCCACCTTCAGAGCGGCCTGGGAGGCTGGGACGACTACCCTCGCCATTTCACAGCTAAGCAAGCAGAATGTCATTGACGGTTGGTACCTTGCCCAGGGTCACATCGTTTGTAAGTGGCACAGCCAGAATTTGAACTCAGGGCTTTCGGACCTCAGAACCCAGCTCTTTTTTGTCTTTCCAGGTGTCCAAGGTGGATGGATGGGGGTCAGGGAGATCCGAGGGCCTAGGGTGGATGAGCTGCTTTGTGAGTGGTTGCTGTGCCCCTTCCTGGGGCACCCGTGTCACCTCCCTCTTCCCCCCCAGGGTACGTGGTCACTTTCATGGTTTTCCTCCTCATGGTGATACTCGTCAGCCTCTCGGCCTTCAACATGTGGTGGCTGAGCTATTGGTTGGAGCAGGGCTCAGGGGTGAGTGCCATGGGGGAGCGGGGTGTGCTTCTGTGGGCTCGTGTGGAGCCGAGTGGCTTCTCTGAGGGCCAGAGCACAGGCTGCGGACCCCACAGCCTGCCATTGCCGAGATGACAAATGGTACTCCAGGGAGCACCGCTGGGAGCCAGACTCCCGGGGCTCCCTCTGTCCCGGCTCTACCCCTGTTCACAGAATGAGCCGTGACCCCTGCAGACAGCTCCTGGGCATGCTTTGCATCCTCCTTAGTGACTTTGTCTCTGGTTGCAGTTTTGCCTTCTTGCTCTGCATTATTTAAAATATGCCCCGGCATTGGGTGGGCGTTCAGGTTTGGGAGGCTGCATCCAAGATAAACCTGCTGAACTTAGTGAAAGTGGAAAACAGGTTTATTCCGTGACTGCTAACAGTAGGGGAAAGGGCTGAGTACCGCTCTGATTTGTGCGGAAATGACCTGGGAGTGTCCCAGGAACAAGGAAGGCGGGGGCAGGCAGGGCTCAGTCAGAGGTGAACCTTACATGGGGAGGCCATGAAGCTGGGAGTCCACCCTCCCACAGAGACGGGGAGACAGGGCCCCTATCCTTACGATGATCACATTTCGAAGGAATGGCTCTCGGGTCCTTGAGAGAGATGCTTCTGACTTGGAAAAGATGTGGACTCATCATGTGAGAGCCCTTTTTAGTAAGTGAGCTGAGAAAGGGGGCTCTGGGGAACAGTGCTGGCTAGAAGCGAAAGCAAATTCTCTGGGCAGCACCTCAGCTTTCTCAGGCAGGCATTTTAACTGGGAGTTGGGGTGCTCCAAGGGACATGCATTAAGCGCCCGAATCCATGCTGGAGTCTGGCTTCACACATAGGCACGTGCAGTGGTTGATGTGATCTCCAGCCCTCTCCCCACACTGAAGGATGGGGGTGGGGCTAAGGGTTCCAAGCTTTTACTCATGGCTTGGTTTCCTGGTGACCGGCCTCCATCCTGAAGCCATCCAGGGCCCCAGCCACCTGCCATCTCATGAGCTACAAAGACCCTGTTATTGCTCTAGAGACTCCAAGGGTCTTAGGAGCTCTTGTATCAGGAACCAGAGCCAGAAGCCAAGTATTAGAACAAAAGATGCTCCTAGCTCCCATCACTGAGGGAATCATGGGAGCTTTAGGACCTCTGTGCCAGCAGCTGGGGACAAAGACCAAGTCTATTCATCATCATAACACACGCCCTGTTCTCCCTTGAAGACCAACAGCAGCCAAGAGAGCAACAGAACCATGGCGGACTTGGGTGACATACTTGACAACCCCTGCCTGCCCTTCTACGAGCTGGTGTATGGCCTCAGCGCCCTGGCCCCAGCCTGTGTGGGGGTCTCCTTCTCGTGGGTGTTCACCAAGGTCACGAGGAAGGCATCCATGGTGCTGCACAACAAACTCTTCAACAAGGTACGGGCCTGGGCGCTGGGCCCGGCCACAGGCTGAGCTGCCCCGGCCCCTCCCCCGCTTTTAAAATTACTGGACTACTTTTTGAGATGTTTTTGGTTTAAGAAAAACTGAGTGGAAAGTACAGAGAGCTCTTGTATGCCCCTCACCAACCCCCTACTTTCTCCGTGTATTAACATCTTGCATGAGTGTGGGACATTTGTCGTCATTGATGAGTCAACATGGATCTGTTATCATTATTCACCAGAGTCCACAGTCTCCACTAAGGCTCAGTCTTGGTGGTGTACGTCCTGTGGGTTTTGATAAGTGGATGCTGACGTGTAGCCACCATTTAGTGTCATACAGACTATTCTCACTGGCCTAAAACTCCCCTGGGCTCCACCTATTCATTCCTCCCTCCCCCAACCCCCAACCACCACTGATCTGTTTACTGTCTCCATAGTTTTGCCTCTTCCAGAGTGTCCTATGGTCGAAAGTGGGCGCTAGGTCACAAGATGGACACCGGCAGGTCATACCTGCTGAAGGAGGTGTGATTCTAACAGTTCACCATCCCTTGCTGGAGGGTCAGGGGTCACACCCGTGCCGGCCTCTGTTGGCTGAGTCAGTCATATACAGAGTTGCTTATAATTGCCCTGCTATTATCCTCCCACTGCTGTGTGACAACACTGTGCATTGTGGTTAGAATACCAAATCACCTAGATTGGTTAGAATATGCTGCTGTGGTGTCCAGTGACATCCTGGAAATGTCACTGCTGTCTCTCACATAGCAAATCTTTCCGTGTGCCATGTGGTGGGTGTTGGGCTTACGATGGTGAGTGCACAGTGTAGGTGTGGTTAGGGCCACCTTGGCCTTAGGATCTGTTGAGGGAGATGGACAAGAAAACAGGCTCAGAGGGGTTAAGCAACTTGCCCAAGGTCACACAACAGTAGGTGGAGGAGTCTGCAGCACTGGAGCCTAAGCAGAGCTACTCTGGAGCCCCTGCTCTTGACCATGACTCCACACTGCCTTTCCTGGACGCCCTGCAGGCTGCATCCTGCCGCTCTCCATAGCCTAAGGGTGAGTCAGCAGCAAAGCCAGCAGCTCTTCTCACCATCTGGGTGCTTTTGTCCTGCAGGTTTTCCTCTGCCCCATGAGCTTCTTTGACGTGACCCCCATAGGCCGACTCCTGAACTGCTTTGCGGGGGACTTGGATGAGCTGGACCAGTTCTTGCCCGTTGTGACTGAAGATTTTATGATCCTGTTCCTGATGGTGGTCATCAACCTGGTGATGGCCAGTGTACTGTCTCTTTATATCCTGCTGATAGGAGTCATCTTAAGCATCGTCTGCGTCATTTATTATGTGTGAGTGGGCTCTTTTTGCTTGTGGATGGATTTTGTGACTTGGGGTTTGAGGGTGAGCCACCCAGACACGGGTGGCCCTGGAGGTGGACGGCCCAGGCCACTCCCTCTCATCCTGGATGCAGGAAGTTCAAGAGGGCCGTAAGCGTGTTCAAGAGGCTGAAGAACTACAGCCAGTCCTTTCTGTTCTCACATATCCTCACCTCGCTGCATGGCCTGAGCTCCATCCATGTCTATGGAAAAACTGAAGACTTCATCAGCAAGTGAGTCCTGCCATCTGAGGATGTTGGGACCGTGGGGCGGGGGGCAGGGAGCAGACTGCTGGGAATAGGGTCATCTACAGAAGGATCAGAGAACATTGTTTTACTCCGTTCATTCTCTGAGCCCCCAGAGCCATCTCTGTAAGACGATACTCATAAGAACAGAAAATGGAGCACCTGTAGATAGTGCATACATCTATTAATATAATTAATAGTAAGAAGTATCACTGGGCCGGCACTTTCTTCATTGTTTTTTTTTTTTTTTTTTTTTTTCACTTCCAAATAGGTATCTCATTTTCATAAAATAAGAAGGAACAAGAACTTTCTAAATAACAGAATTTCCTTTACTATATTCATACCCATTGACTTATATTCTAAATGTTTGTTGAAACAAACAAAAATCCAATGATTGTTGCTGGGGCTTAATTGTGGCATATGAACTTAATTATTTGTAAAGACAAATAACACAGGGTCTGCATGGATTGACAGAAAGCTCCCTGTCTGGTGGAAGATGGGAGACACAAAAGCATTACATGTTTGTGTAATAATCCAGAGTTGAATATGAAAGCATAAGAGAGGAGTAGACAAAATGCCAGAGGAGTTCAGAGGGGCAAGAGGTAACCCACTGGGGGGATCAGGGAAGGCTTTCAGGACGAGGTGGCATCTGAGCTGGCCTCGAAGCCTGGTAGGATGTGCGCATGGGAGTTGGTGTGTGTTCATTAACTGGAATATTGGATGAACCACAGCACCAGCTCTCCAAGTGGCCCCTTGAGAGCACCTGAAGACTGTGCAGACATTAGGGCTGAGGCATCCTTGAGCAATGTGTTCACGCAGTCAACACTGAGAGCCCCTCCCGTGCTTAGCACCACAGGATACAGCCATGAGCAAGACAGACATAGCCCCCACTCAGAGCTGGGTAGGGAGGGATCACCACCTTCTCCCACTCACACATCCTGGCATTTATTTATACTCCTTTGCCCATGGGTAAGTGAAGGTAACTTACCCATCCCCGAACCAGTCCTCAAGGCCAGGACTAGTAGGTGTGGATAGGCCTATGTTGCTCAGAGCCCAGATCTGGGGTCAGGTCAGCTCCATGACTGAGAAAGGGGTGGGGAGGAATCCCCCAAAGAAAAGTCAGGTTGTGTTGGTGGGGGTGGGGAGCTGGATGCTGCAGGGAGCAACCAGTGTCTGCCCTTGGGAAACCCTAGGGCAGACCAACACAAGTGGCTTTCAGGCTGTCCTTTCTTTCTCAGGTTTAACAAGCTGACTGATGTACATAACAACTACTTGATGATGTTTCTGTCTTCCATGCGATGGCTGGCATTGAGGATGGAGCTCATAACCAACCTGGTCACCTTGACCGTGATCTTGTTTGTGGCTTTCGGCACTTCTTCTGTTTCCTATTCCTATAAAGCCATGGCTACCAGCTTTATCCTGCAGGTGAGGGAGGGACTCGGACAGTGGGCTTGGTCTGCGGCCCGCAGGCAGACTCAGGGGATCCATGGTTCTTCAGTTACACCTTGGACTTGGCCATTCATGATCTTTTTTAAGAAAAATTGTTTTATTGTTGAAAGTATTACAGATATCCCCTTTTATCCCCCCTTGACTCCTTCTACCCTGCACCCTTCCCCATCCCAGGCCTTTACCACACTATTGTCTGTGTCCATGGGTTATGCATATATGCCTATAAGTTCTTTGATTAATCTCTCCCCACCCCCAACCCCACCTTTCCTCTAAGATTCATCAGACTGTTCCATGAGTCTATATCTCTGGAACTATTTTGTTCATCAGTTTATTTTGTTCATTAGATTCCACATATGAGTGAGTTCATGTAAAACTGAATCAGGAAGAATCAGAAAACTTGAATATACCAATAACAACTGGCGAAATTGAAGCAGCAATAAAAAAAAACTCCCAGCAAATAAAAGCCCTGTTCTGGATGGCTCACAGAGGAGCCTCATCAAGCATTCTACTTCTTATTACAGCAGTCCCTTTAACATTTCCTGCAGTGTTGGTTTGGTGATGATAAACTCCTTTAGTCTTGTTTTGTCTGGAAAGCTATTTATTTCGCCATCTATTTTGAGTGATAGTCTTGCTGGGTAGAGTAGTCTTGGTTTCAGTTCCTTGCTTTACATTACCTTGAATACTTCATGCCATTCCCTTCTGGCTTGTAGAGTTTCTGATGAGAAGTCAGCTCACAGCCTTATGGGAGCTCCTTTGTAGGTAACAAGTTGCTTTTCTCTTGCTGCCTTTAAGATTCTCTCTCTGTATTGAATTTTTGGCATTTTAATTATGATGTATCTGGGTGTGGGGGCCTCTTTGGGTTCTTCTTACTTGGGACACTCTGTGCCTCCTGAACTTGTGTGACTTTTTCCTTGACCAGGTTAGGAAGTTTTCTGCCATTATTTCTTCAAACAGGTTCTCTATCCCTTGTCCATTTTCTTCACCTTCTGGAACCCTTATGATGCAAATATTGTTACCTTTCATGTTGTCTCACAGCTCCTTTAAGCTGTCCTGTTTTTTAATTGATTTTTCTTTTTGGTTCTCTGGTTGAGTGATTTTTTTCCTACCCTGTCCTCTAATTCACTGATCTGATCCTCAGCTTCTTCTAATCTGCTGTTTATTCCTTCTGATGTGTTCTTTATTACTGCTATGTCATTCTTAATTTCCTTCATAGTGTCCATATCTTTTCTCATGCTGTTGAGCATCCTTACAATCAGTATTCTGAACTCTATATCTGATAGATTGCTTATCTCCATTTCATTTAGATTTTCTTCTGGGGAATTCTCTGCTCTTTCATTTTGGGCTTGTTTTTTTTCTCCCCATTTTGGCTGCCTGTTTGGGTTTGTTTCTATGTAATAGGTAGATCTGCTATGACTCCCAGTCTTTTTGGGGGGTCTCTGGTGCAGGCCAATGTCAGACACAGTTTGTGACTGGCCCTGAGTACCCTGTTTGGAGCTTTCAGCAATCCACAACTTGTGGCTCCTTCTGCTGAGGCTAGGTACATTTGGAAAGGACCAAGATGGGTACCAAGGTCTGCTTTTCCAAGGCCCAGGTCCAGAAGCTTATCAGGCAAAGACTCAAAGCATCCAGAGGTCCACCTTTGTCTCCAGGCTTATTGTTATTCTCAGTCTTAATGAACCTCAAGGGTGTCGACCACAGCAAGGTGTAAACTCCACAGAGTGGGGCAAGAGGTTTTACAACAGGGTGGGCCAATTGCCCCTCCCCCACCCCAGGAGAAAACTGCCTCAATGGCAAAAGATCTGCCTGAGAAAGATGTCCTATGTTGCATTGAGGAATGACTTAGCACAGGAATCCAGATGGTCAACCCTCTGTTATGCAGATGGGAGAACTGAGGCCAGGAGAGGGGATGGAGTTGTTCAAACAGACAGGGCATTAGAGGCAGAGCCAGGGCAAGAATGCTGGCCTCTTGGTTACTTGGCTTGTGCCTTTTCACTTTACTGTCCTTCCCTGACCCAGTTGTCAGACTTTTCTGAGTTGCCTGGGAGGCTACAAAGAAGGAAGGGGTCCCTCTACTCAATGTCCTACTCAGCCCAGTGGACCCTGCTCCAGAGCACGGAGTCAGGTCCTGGCAGGCTTGGGAATCTAGTTTTAAAGACAAGTTGTCTAGGGAGCTCTAACGTGGCCATTTACGTGCCTCCCAGGCACTTGGTATGTGTGTGTAGGGGGTGCGCAGGAGGTACCTGTTGTTTGGGTTCATGTCCACAGACTCCTGCTGGAGGGCTGACATTGAAGGTAGGCTGGCAGCACGGTTCAGGGTGCCCATCCCCCTGGGGAGTTCATCAACATTATCTGTGCTGTGTGGCTTTCTCTCTACCTGGAATCAGAGCTGTGTGCCCAATGCTGACACCTCCTTCTAGGTAAGCAAAGGGCCCAGTCTTGTCCTTTGGTGACCCTGTAGCAGATGTGGCAATGGGCAGTTTCCAGGAACATTGAGAGCCTTTGCACCCAGCAGCCACTCTACCTGACATGTCTCCTTCCTTCCAGTTGGCATCCAGCTTCCAGGCCACCGTGAGGATGGGCTCGGAGATGGAGGCATACTTCATGGGGGTGGAGAGGATACTGCAGTACATGAAGGTGGGGCTCAGGCCTAGGTCAGTACAAGCCCGGGGCTCAGCTTCGAGGTCTCTGTAAGTCCCCAGGGCCCTGTTACTTTCCTGGGAGGCAACCAGGGCTCCAGGCTTTCCTTCCCATCCTCCCAGACCTGCGTGTATCAGCTCTCTGAAGCTCCTCCATACCTGTCATCTCATTTTGACTAATCTCTCTATGGGCCAGCATTCTTGGATGTTGAAAGAATAATCTCTTTTTAGAAATGGGAGGTTTGCCCAAGTCTAATAATAATAATAACGACAATAAGAATTATCATTACTATTGCTTCTAGTCATGTCATAGTAGTTAAGCGCACAGGTTTTGGAGCCAGATCCCCTGGTTTCAAGTCTAAGCTTTGCCACTTGAATCAGCTGTGCAGCCTTGGGCAACTTACATGGCTTCTCTGTTCCCCACAAAGATTAAATAATGTAACATGTAACATTGGCAGTGCCTGGCCCATAGGAAAGACTCGAGATTATTATAGATAATCTCATGAAATCACAAAACCATTTTATAAGATTGGTTGAATGATTGTCCCAATATCCAGAAAAGGAAACTGAGGTTTCCCAGGCTGAGCATCTTGCTTAAGGTGAGACAGCAGGGGCTAGCAGAGCCCTCTAAAGCCAGGTCCCCTGCCCCATTACAAGAGCAGAATTTGTGAACCACAGAGCTTGGATTTAACCATTGGGGATGCTGTGGTGACACTATGCTGGCAGGGGTTTGCAGAGCTGTGATTTGCAGCCAGGTGACCCTGCTTCTTCTCCACTGTTGTTTCTTCCCAACACACCCACCTGTGCTTGACGCAGGCTCGTGAGTTTGGAGTCAGGCAGTCCTGGGCTGGAGTCCTTGCTGTCCACTCACCAGCTGTGTTATTTCAAGCAACTGTTTACGCTCTCTGAGCCTCTGTTTCCTTGTCTGTGAAACGTGTGAAAAATGCCACCTCATAGGAGTCTGCCCAGGGCTCTGAGCTGTAAAAGGCCCCCCTGCTCTCCTACCCCCCGGGAATTCTCTGCTGCCCTGTTCTCATTGTTCTAGATTCCACTTCTCCAGAACCTCAGGCATTAAATTAGAGAAAGTTCTCTATGTTAATAACAAGGGGGCTGGCTATGGACTTTCTCCCTCTTTGGGGATAAAACTATGTGCCTTTCAGGTGAGTGGGGACAGGGATGTTCTTGGGGTGTTCCTCTGATCACACAGCTGGTGGCTTGACCACGACACAGGGCAGACTGGGGGTGGGTCATCAGGGGTGGGCAGAGGTGGATGGTACCTATTGGTTTCTTTTCTTTCCTCAAAAATGAGATGTGTGCCCCTGAGGCTCCTTTGCACATAGAAGGCACGAACTGTCCCCATGGGTGGCCGCAGCACGGGGAGATCTGCTTCCAGGATTATCAGATGAAATACCGAGACAACACCCCCATTGTCCTCAATGGCATCAGCCTGACCATTCGTGGCCAAGAAATGGTGGGCATCGTGGGAAGGACGGGCTCCGGTGAGCTGATCGCCCTGCACCTCATCCTCAACTTTGGCCTTTGGGTGTTGGACCGATTTCCGGGCATGGGTTTGCTCAGTGACCCACAGATGTTTGCTGACCCTCACTTTGTTCTGGGCTCTGTCCCAGACCCTGGCCAATAAAACCCAGCGTCCCTGGTGCTGTGGGATTCCCATGGAGGAGACAGATGAACGGGTCATCAGATAGGAAAATAAATGAATAATTACAGGGTAGTGAGTGCCGGGGAGGACATTGGAAGGTGGTGTTGGACAGAGTGGCGGGGTTGGTGGTCCTGGAGCTACGGTGGCCTGGGCTCTGAGGCCAGCATGGATCTGAGACAGGAAGGCAGAACGGGGAGCAGGGGAGGAGAGCTTCAAGCAGGGGCAGAGCAGGGCAAGGAGTGAAATCTGGGCGCCCCTTTCCTTCCCCTCTCCCTGCCCTCCCTTCCTGACCTTTATCAGCCTCCTTCTTCCCTCTGCTTCCCTACTTCTTTCCTTCCCTCCCCCTCCTATCACCTTCGGGAGATCTGGTCCAAGTGTCACTCCCTCCCACTCTTCACTTGTTCAGAGAAATTGCTCAGACTCAGTTCTCTTCCTACCCTTGTGCACCTCGGAGCTGCCTCCTCCAGGAAGCCCCTCAGGATGCCTAGAGACTTCCTGGGTCTGCTCCTCCTCAGGCCCCTACGGGCTCACACTGCTGCTGGGTGAAGGGCTTCAGGCTGGGTTCTTTAGTGTGTTCTTTCCTTTCTGTTTCTCCGGGTGGTTGGCCTGGCAGGGCTGGGGTCTGACACAGAGAAGCTCTCATGATGCTGGGCCAAATGGCTTTATCCACTCATAGGCATTTCCTGAGCATTGTTGAGCCAGGCAACAGGAACGTAAAGGTGAACAAGACACAGCTGTCACCCACACTGACCTTATCTTTCTGAGCAGAGGCTGCGTTAGCCTCTGACGAGTGACATCGATGAGAGGCATGGGGCTGGAGCTGATGAAGGGGGTGGGGAGGGCCGCGTGTCAGGCTGGAAAACAACCGTCTCTCTCAGGGAAGCAGCCATGCTCAGCTCCAGCTGCTCCTCAGCCCAGCAACATGGGGCTGAAAGCATGTGATTTGAATTTTATATATAGGATCTTTGGATTTAAAAAATTTTGGCAAAGAATTTAAAAAATAACAGTAACTCTGTGTGTGTGAAACAAAACATATACAAGGCTGGATTTAATACGTGGGCTCCACTGGTGTCCCCTGATCTCAGCTCCTCATGGGTTTGAGTACCACTTGGAGCAGAGACTCCAGCCCTCTTCTCCCCTCTCAGGGCTCCTGATGACAAAGAATGGGCCACGGAGGGCAGGGGAGGTGTGCATGCCAGGTGTCCCCTGTGCTGCCCCTGGGCAGGTTCAGGAAACTGATGCCCTACTTGTTTCTCCCCCAACAGGGAAGTCCTCCTTGGGGTTGGCGCTCTTTCGTCTGGTGGAGCCTGCGGCGGGCCGGATTCTCATAGACGGCGTGGACATCAGCAGTGTTGGCCTGGAGGACCTGCGGTCCAAGTTCTCCATTATTCCTCAGGATCCTGTGCTGTTCTCAGGAACCATCAGGTGGGTGCTGGGCCTGGGGCCAGCCTGGAGCGAGAACCGGATGTCAGGGTGGGATGCCGTGTTTCTGGGCCACTCGTGCCAACCTGGCCCACCTCCCTGAGCTGCCACGGATTAAAGGAGACCGTGATCTACACAAGAGCACTTGGCGAACCAGGATGTCCGAACAAAAGCAAGGAATCGTTTTTAGTTTTCGAAGCCTGATGGGCTGGTCAGCTTTCAGGTCACTGCTCAGCAGGTGCACTGTGGCGACCGTATGCTGTCCTGCCTGGGGCTGGTTGACTCGCTTCTCTCCAACCACTGGGGACATCTGAGGCGGGACCTTAGAAGGGGCTTCTTCACGGGCACACATTCTAGGCAGGAGAAGTGAGAAGTGACCCAGGCAGTCCGGGCTACGAGCAGGCCGCAGAGGCACTCCAGGCCCTTCCACACTGTGTCCTCAGAAGTGAGCTCAGGGACTAAATGCCACCCAGACGAGAGCTCCTGCCTGGCCATGTGTGTTAGCTGAGTGGGACCGACCGCAGCTGAGTGGGACTGACCGCAGCGGCCTGGCGGCTGAGGGAGCCTGATGTGCTAAACATGAAGCCAGAGGCCCCGGGGCTTCAGGAACACTTAAGGGACATTCTCAGTGGCAAAAGGACAAACGGACTCCAGAGCTCTATTGATCGATTGACTCACTCACTCGTTCACTTATTCATTTATTCATCCATTTAGCCTGTCTTTTCTGAGACTCTGCCAGGTCCAGACACTGGCGAGAGACTGGGGACAATAACCTGAATGATCACTGAC